CCGGCCCGCTCTCGTGCACTACCTCTCCTTTTCACCCGTCGATTCCGGCTCATCCTTCGCACCCTTCCACCTCGCCAGCCACGCCCGGCCGCGTCCTGATGACCCCTTGTCCGCACAGCTGCAATTCCTTACTGCAGAGTTCCTGAGCGGGTTGCGATAAACCAAATTTTGACCTAACAAACCTATCTGGGTTGTAATAGATCCTCCTGTTTTCATACTAGACCACTGAAAAGACGGCGTGACAAATTTGGGAATAATTACTCCAGTGCTCTGACATTGTGATGGTACGTACACTCCCGTACATACGAGTATGTTCACTTTTGTATTATAGATATGGATAATGGTTGAATGGAATGGAAGTATCTTCAACCAAAGGGGCTTTCAGGAAACTCACACTACTTTACAATTGACCGATTGATGATTCCGAGCGAGTCAACTGCTAGGTTTATTAACAACGTAAGTTCAGTACTTGTTTTTTTCCTCAGGAGATGGATGGGATCTTCCCCTGGTGAATGCTGAGATTTGGCATCTACTGTCGGCTAACGGGGTTTTCCCCAACCAGGTGCCCCCCCCCCCCCCCAGCGAGGCACCGCTCCAGTCGCGACTATCGAAGCTCTCAGCCGTTCTCCCAGCATGTTGCAGTGTAGTGCATGTTAGAGTAAGTGTGTGAGGATAGGACAAGGTAGAGGAAGGAAAGATCACGCGCGGTCCGTGTGTTAGGGTACTACTACGGAATTCGACCTAGCTATGCAGCTAGTGACGAAAATCCTGCCACCGCGGCGGTACACCGTCGGGACTCGAATCTAGGACTTCCCGGTCAGAGGCACTGTAGTTTGGTCATGCTTAGTGTCCCCGAATACATTAATCCAGGTTTGGGGGTTCTTTCTTCCGAAAACGAAGAAATGTTTCTGTCAGTGTTTCGTCTCATCCATGTTTTTCTCGTAAGTTACTTTCGTAATATAAGAGGTTCTTGGAATGCTGCTGGTTAAAATGGCTATTTTTCGACAGAAAAACTGTATTGTGGGGCCCTGATTATAAAAGTGAATAAATAGTGATCGTTTGTGTAACAAATAACTTCTTCTGCGGGTCTTATGGCCGAGATCGCTAAGGCAGAAGTGCAGCGGCGGTCTCTGACCGAAAGATCACGGGTTCGAGTGCCGTCTCGGGAACGGTTGTGTTGTGTATGTCTCTGTATGTTTGTGTGTGTCTATTTCATCATCCAGCATCGTCACAATTTCAGCCCATCCCGCAAGCTAACTACCCTGGGGTGGAACCAGCCTTAAAATGCTGATCCTGCAATAGAAAGTAACGTGCACCAACCACGATATTCGAGCCTTATCCTTGATGGGATCCACATATCGCCTGGCACCATGATAGCCGATTCACGAAAAAAATACTTCTAATACATTGGCTACTCAAAATCCTCGCTTTGTGAGTTTTTGATACCGAAAAGTTGGGAGAGAGCAACACGTATGTGTGTTCGTCTGTTCATTTGCGATGCAACCGTTGAAACGATTTTTTCCAAATTTGATATCCCCCATTTATCTGGTCTAGTTCAAGGCACTGAGAATAGTATTACGGTTGTTGGAGTAATTACGCTAGATCTTAACATTTTTTGAAATTTCTCAAAAGTCTCTCTAAATATTTCTCTTAAATGTGTACCCCAGATAGATCAAAGGACTCTGAACAAACGACGGAGGTTACATTTTCGTTGAAATATCTGAATTTTTAAAAAAAATTAAAAGTTCAGAATGTTTTTGAAATTGCAAAAGTTCATTTTTGTTCTTCGCATTTGCAAATTTGAATTTTCAGAACTTCTTTTACTAGATTTTCTAGTAGTTACCAAGTCTCAATATGAAAATAGCAACACCTCGACACGACTGTTTGAAATGCAGAGAATTCTCATTCTCAATTTCTCATTGTAGGGCTATAATATTCGATTGGATTGCCCAATGTGGGTTGATGTGTTAGCTTTAAACGTTTTCGCATCTAATGCGCTACTACTGGTATACGTTTTAGAACTGCAACTAGTACAAACCACTAGTTCTTTAGCACAGAAGGGAAAGCAGTCGTACACACTGACCTTGTTCTTCGCGTCAGTGTTCTACAGGTGATATGCCAAGTCTTATCGTAGTCGTTTATGTGGTTTGCATTTTTTTCCCACGGCATGTGAATCTCAGGATAGTTTTATCTGCTCAGCACATGTTTCTGCTCACGCTAAAGCAAATATTGTCTGGTGATACTATCTCCTATTCGAGATTTCAGGTAAAGATTTCCTGAAGGTAAAACAATGAGTCGTTCTGTTTGTTTTTTAAAACTATTTTGTTTAGGCAGCCAAAGATGATCTTGTTTTTTTGCATTATATAGTAGTGACTTCAAATTTATTAGTATGAAAAGTTTTAAAAGTAAGAATTAGTGACTGAATACACAATGAATATAAATTGGAAAACATGGCCATTAAAATTGAGTCATGTATTACATCATGCTATTATGAATCTGGAACTGAACATCCGAAAAACGTCGTACTTCATTTTTATAATACTGTTTTTTTTTCATTTCTTAAAAGGAAATACGAAAAAACCTTTAAAGATATCTCCATAACTGACAATACGAAAATCAAAATTATTGAGAGATTATTGGTCTGCTGCAGTAAAAATTCTTCGGAGAAAAACTACACGAAATGTTTTTTCCATGAATATGCTCAAGAACAACAAATAAATAAACCTCTGATAACACTCCATAAATTAAATCAATCTTCACGTATACTGCAATAACGTAGTATAGTATATACGGACAAGCAGTATAACAGTTTTTACTTACCATTAATATCAAAAAAGTTGCTGCTGCTTCATGTGAGTAGCAAATATTGCATGGTAAGTGACCGCTTCCTTGAGCCTTGCTGTCGCATGATGTCACATGTGTCGTAAGAAGTGACGCTCAGCGTTTGAAAATTTAGTCTGACAATAGATGGAATTGAATATTTGGATTTTTCACTCAAAATCGAAACTCTGTCAAGGTTATTGTAATTTTCGCGAATTTCTTGGTATCTAACAAAACCGTAGACATCTGTCACATGTCCAAAGGCTGCGTTGTGTTTTTTCTTTCAATTTTTGCGCCCATCGAGAATAGTAATACAGATAGATGATTTTGAATTTTTCCCGAGTTCCTGGATACCGCTTTTCACATCCTGAAGGCATAATGTTTCTTACGGAGAATGCGCGCGTTGTAGCCATCACGACCCGATCCCTTGCCCGCTCGCACTACAATCATCAAATCACGAATATCTTTCTGAATATGTGCAGCTAAAAAATATTTATTCGCACACATTTTTTTATTATCATTATTATTATTATTATAGTCTTAATTTTTATTAGCGTAAATATCTAATATACAGGGACCATTTACATGCATT